TCTCTCTCTCTCTCTCTCTCTCTCTCTCTCTCTCTCTCTCTCTGTCTTTTTCTTTTCCCTCTTCTATCCCGCGGAGACAGCGTCTAATTTGCCGACTTCCGGAGGGTTGTTGGCGCGATTATTATTTGTCATTAATGCGAGTCAATTGCAACACATTTAACTCTTGAATGATATTAAACGCTGCGTGAAAGAAAGAATTTCTCTTAAAAACTTCCTTCTTTTACCAGCCAAATGATATTAAGTAAATTCAATTTATATAAAATAATAATTAGGTCGTTGCACAGATTTGTCATTTTTCTGTTAAATTCTATATTTATATATTTGCAGGAAAATTATTCCCTCTAAGAACAAATACCACCACATATGTAAAGTCATATATGATATATATATATATATATATATATATATATATATATATATATATATACACAAATACATATGTATATAATAAAATAAGAAATTTATAATTTAATTACAAAGGATGTAGCTGAGAATCAGAAGAAAATTTAATTAACTTACTTCTCTAGGAAATAAATAAATGTTTCCTCAACTTATTAATTTTCTAGTGAAAAGTTTAGGTATTAGGAAGAAATTAGAGAGTCCACGTTAGATGTCTAAGAAAATACCAAGTCAATGTCGTTTATTTTACTCGTAAGAATACTTGGATAATCCGAAATTGGATAATTTCATTTTCGATTTCATTTGACAAACACACGACAACGAAATTTTGTACCAACATAAGACATCGCCAACTCTGACTTCTGACGCGAAATAAGAAGAAGCGATGCTTTCCGGTAATTTGGGATCCGACCATTTCGCCGAGCGGTTAATCTAATCTACGACTTATCCGCGTGTGCATCGCGCGAACGAATATCAAGTGGATTCATCGCGCCGCCAAGAATCCCTACTGTTAAGCGCGAGGATCTCGCGTTAACAATGCGACTCTCGCGGCGTTAACAATCGCCGACGATGAAACGCGCAGTCATTGATTACGGTAAATAGGCTCCGTACTGTTTCGGATTCCCGGCGCGTTCGCGGTTCTAACGGTACGAAGCGGCCACGCGCGAGAGAAGCCGCCGCCTCTTTCACGGTCGCCTCGTGCAAAACACTAATTAGTTAAGTCGTTCGCACGACGTGCAAAGAATCGTTCCCCCGATTCCCGCAGCGAGACCCGAGTATGCACCACCGAGCGCTTTGTCCGACACGGTGAGTGTATCTCACATTCCTGTAAATTACCCGCGTTTATTTGTCAGCGTTACCCGAAACTAAAACCTAACGGAATTAAAATCAAGAAAATGTAAAATAATTCGCGAGAATTCAGCGCCTTGTTCTCGAATTCCCCGGTTCTTTCCGAAATATCCAACTGAATTTATCAGTGCACTCAATGCAATTGATATGGACTCCAATTTTGACCCTTTAACTCCGGATATACTGGCGCAACGTAATTCCCGTGGAAGCAAAAAATCAAGAAAAATCAATCTCCTCTTAAATTGTTTGTCACTGTTCACGATTACATACGCCAAATCCGAATCGCAGATCACCCGGGGGCTGCCAAAAAATTGGTGTCGACCCCGGAGCTATTTGTATTATTTGCACCAGATGAGGAGGGGCAACGGTGGAGACGGGCATACATGGACAGCAGGTCTTAAAGGATAGCAACCTTTGACTTTGAGAGACTGACAGCTGTACCATTTGGTACAGTAACATTGTTTCTCTCTGTAGTCGCCGTGCGCTCGGGATCGCGCCAAGAGATGTCGCTTCCGAACGGCATCTCTGAGCGTTATCTAGGAAGAGGAGAGTGTCGTGAGCGTGGAGCGTCAAGTAGCTCAGTGGTTTAGAGCAGTCGCCCGGCAAGCGAAAGACCCGGGTTCGAGTCCCGGCCTAGCAGGACCGCGCTCTCGATATTTTTCTCTTTCTGGAACGAAAAAGATACGCAGATCTCGTCGAACGCACGGCGTCCCTCCTCCTTCTATGGTCGCACGCTAATCAAGCGTTGGCTCTTAAGGTAAAGCCATTTCACGGGCGTTTTATAGCGAGATTATTGGTTTCAGACCTAAACCTGGAGTTTAAAGGGTTAATCGACTCACTGTCGGCGTATCGAAAAAATTTCGTGGATTGTTGGCAGTGCGAAAATAAATAATTTAATACGCATTGCCAACTTTATATCTTGAAAAAAAATATAGAAACAAGAGAGAGAGAGAGATCTCGTCGAAGATGACTTATGAACTCCGCCACATCCGTTCGCAGGGCACGCAGCATACATTAAAAAACGCGTCCACCCATCTAACTAAGCTGAGGCTCGACGAGGACGAGAGGGGCATTACACTTCATTGTTTTCACGAGGCGGAGTATAGCAGGTTTCGAAATCTCACGAAACGACCGACCGACGTGGCGGCGTGGCGCGGCGCAGCGCAGCACAGCGCTGCATGGCCGTTCGACTCGCGCAGCGCAGCTGCAGTTGCAGCGAATATATCATCCTCGTGTTGCACCGCGGGCGACCGGGCGCGCACCAAAGGCCGGGTATAACGAAGACAACCTATATTTTCTCCACCCAGTTCCAAACTCTTAAGGGCAAACGCGATCTCCGGCTGGTCCTGCATCAATTATACCTTCCACAAACACGATGTTAGGCCCCCACATACTCGCGTCGTGTTATTCGCAAGAGCGCGAGTGCGAAAGAGCGAGAACGAGCGCTCTCGCGAGAACGCTCGCGAGGATGCGCGTCGGGAGCGTGTGTTATTAAATTATTCGCGCGCGCGCGCGTCATTGCGTCTCACGCCAAGGGGGCGAAGGGGCGGGGAGGGGACCTCCCCCCTTTTTCTCGAGTTATGCGCGTAGGCTTATCAGATATGCCCGGCGGGCCCGGAGGCGTCAAGCGGAATTTAAATTGGTGAACATAGAAATGTTCGTGTAACGATATAAATGCACGTTGCGGCGGCGGCGACGGCGACTCACGCGATATTTATTGTGCGCCTCCTCTCTCGCGCCTCTCCTCTTTTTCCTCGTATGATCCGGACGTAATTGCTAATACGGTAAAGCCCGCTTATTTATATATCGCCAAACAGTCGCGCGGCGGAACGGCGGACGTTGTTTAAATACGTCCGCGAAACACGACGTCTCACGTCTATCACGTGCGGCCGTAATTCATTTCTTTAACTACCTCGGTCTCTCTCTCTTTAGTTTTCCCGAGCTAATTATAACGGACTGTGCTTCGCGTAGGAAGCCTTCGGACAGTCACTTCGTCGATGGCAGATGACATAAATAGTCGTCCGCGTCGTGAACGGACGTCAGCCTCGAGAGAGACGACGAGGAGGCGGAGAAGGAGAAGAAGCAGGAGGAGGAGGAGACTCGTCGCGGAATATCGTCGCGGAATATCGTCGCGGTGGAGGTTGCGTTCGAGCGTGACCTGGGAAAAGACGCGGA